AAAAAAGATGTAATATTTTTAACTTCCCGTAGGGCAAGTTATAGTAATCGCAAAAAATCGAAAATGAAAATTTTTATATATCTTTACGTTTCAAAGGTTTCTGAACATTTTGGCATACCTTAGAAATGGATGTATGTGTGGGTGTGTTTGTGTGTGGTTGTGTGTGTATGTGTGTGTGTATGTGTGTGTGTTGTGTGTGTGTGTATGTGTGTGTGTATGTATGTACGTGTGTGTATGTATGTGCGGATACAAATTTTCGTCGACGATTTCGGGAACACGGATCAACCGATTTGAATAATTCAAAAAACATTCGATTCGTATTGATAAGGAGACGTGCTGATTAGTTTTTGGCGAAGGCAGGTCTAGCCGTTCCGAAGATATGGGGCAAAAAGTGCCGAAAACGGTAACTCAGTTTTTAAGAGAACGGAGCGTCCGATTTAAATAATTCAAAAAACATTTCACTTGTATTGACAAGATGAAGAATCGATCAAATTTTCATAAAGGTAGGTCTAGCGGTTTCGGAGATATGGAGGAAAAAGTAAAAAAATGAGCCATTGGCGGTCAAAAATGATCATTAGACATATGCACATCAATTATCAGATATTTTATAGAGATTTAACAATAAGTATACATTTTGTTAACATTCCTATGGGTTCCGTACCAATGCTTATGCGTTAGACAGCGACGCGGCGCTTACGTGCTTTATATTTTGTCCCTATGCAGTTAAATCAGTACGATTGCTTTGAAAAAAAGTTCAGATCTTCCACAATATGTCAAAATAAAGAAAAAAAAAATTTTTTTTCAAAAAAAAAAAAAATTAAAAAAAATTATTTTTTTTAAAAATTTTTTTTTCAAAAAAAAGTAATTTTGGTCCATATATATAGTTTCTCAAAAATATTATTTTTTCAAAGTACATTTTTTCAAAAAACGTTAATCGTTTTTAAAAATTAATAATATTTAGTACGGGAAGTTCCAGCAATTTGCCTTAAGGCACGATGCCTTAATTGCCTTAAGACAGAATTCCACTTACAGCTAGTTATTATCATTAAAAGCGATTGTTTTGTCAGTTGAAAGTTTTTTAGATCATTCAATCGTACGCGTAGTTCACTTAAAAACTGCCATTTTTTGCACATTTAGCTCTGTATCTTTGAAATGGCTTAAATAAAACTCTCACAAGGTTAATAAATCATAGGCTTTAACTATTCTAATCTATATATTACAGTCTTTGCCAAAAACTAACAACCTCTTCTCCTAATCATTACAAATTGAATGTTTTTTAGATCATTCAAATCGGATACTCGTTCTGTCAAAAACTCGATTTGTATTTTCTGCACTCTTTGCTCCGTATCTCCGTAACGGCTAGACCTGTTTTGCCAAAAAACTAATCAGCACATTTCCCTATCAATGGGGATCGAATGTTTTTTAAACCAGTCAAATCGGTTAATCCATGCGCCCGAAAACGTGAACGAAAAAATGCGGACATACAAAACAAACACACACACACGTACACACATCCATTTTTTCTGAGGTATGCCAGTAAAATGTTCATAAACCTTCAAAACGTCGAAAAATGCAAAAATTTTCATTTTTGATTTTCGGCCCATTACTATAACTACCCTTAAGTTAATAGTTTGCACTTTCGATTTTGAATAAATTATTTTCAGAACGTCATTCTGTTTGTCCAATTGCCAACTACCCGTTGCCGTATAGCACCTCATCTCTGCGATGACAATCGTGGTGGATCTGGTTATTGCAAAAGTTCCTGTTCCAAAAATACTGAATGCACATGCTGCCCCAAAGATGTACCTTACAAAGGCCTGGTAATAACAAAAACAAAATTCCATAACGAATTTTTTCCCTAAATCCATTATCAATTGCAGAAGTTGAAAAGAGGCTAATCAAGTGCATCGATTATCATCGGTTTCGACAATGTGCTTCGAATTGCGCAACAAATTCTTCGTGCAGCACTATTGGTCCATGTGGTGGTGGTTGTGGTGGAGGTTGTGGTGGTGGTTGTGGTGGTGGTTCATGTAGCGGTGGTGGAGGACCATGTAAGCCAAGTGGCGGTGGTGGGCCTGACTCATGTGGTGGAGGGCCGGGGTCATGTGGAGGTCCTGGAGGTCCTGGAGGTCCTGGCCATGGAGGTCCTGGTCATGGGTGGTCCTGGTCATGGAGGTCTTGGACATAAAGGTTCTGCTCATGGTAGTCTTGGACATAAAGGTTCTGCTCATGGTAGTCTTGATCACGGAGGTTCTGGTACATGTGGAGGTTCAGCTACATGCGGTGGTTCAGAACCACAACCAAAAGTATCCTTCATGGACAAACCCCAACATGCCCCTAGTGGTCCGTTTCCAGTAGGACCTGGTCCCGCCGCAGGTGGTCCTGGGCCGTGTAGTCCAACTCCAAATCATGGTCCAATTGGCCCTGGTATGGGTTCTGGCCATGTGTTCCTGAACATGGTACACACGGAGGTTACGGCCCTGGGGGTTTTCATAGTCCTCGACGAGGACTAGCTGGTCATAACAAACCGTGCGGTGCAGGTGGTGGCCCAAAGGCTGCATGCCCAGAAACTAGTCGTCCACCATGTGGTCCAGCACCTTTAGCTGGTGGTGGTGGACCAGGTCAAGACACGCAAAGCATAGAAGCGCCTGCCCCCGTGCAGAGACCTAGAAACATTCTAGATCCAAATTTCGGACGATATAACGCTGATCCCTATAACATGAATGTTAACCCAAACGCCCGTGAGTCTATATCAAACACAGCATACCCAAGTGGCCCTGAACAAAGAGAAATTCTTACATACCTGTATATGATCCTGTAGCAAGCCCGACGGATAGCAGTGGCGTACCAATGAATCCATACAGTTTATCTAATAGTCCTAGAATGCCAAACCCTGGGCCTTATGCACAACAATCACCACAAAATGCATTCCCAACACGCAACTACATACCGGATCAAGTTCAGAGGTATCAAAGTTACAGTCCACCTCCAGAGCCAAAGCCACCTGTCGACTTCAATCAACGTCCATCATAAATCGAAATCCAATCAATCAGGAAAGACAACACGCTATGGCTCCATACAATTTACCTGGACAAGTTCCAAAAGAAAAACCAACTTTCAACAACCCTGGTTTATCTAATGAATCACCACAAAGCAGAACATTTGGTCCCACAATGGGCATCAAACTAAAAATTCACACTTTGTGAATGAACCGACATACCCACCAACTGCTCATTTGCATACTGCACAACAAAGAAAAAGTGGTGGAGCAATGAACTACCAGCCTGATACGGAATCTATGAGCAAATCTGATTCTGAATACTACAAGGACAAGTCGCCCTACAGCATGACTTCTCTGTCTGAATCAACATTTTCTGAGAGAGGCTCTTTGAGTCCTAAGTTTAGTACTATCATATCTGGGCCAAACACTCCGCAATATCCAGAACATATAACACAAGTCATGCAAAGCAAAGATGGCACGATTGCTAAAACTGCATCACCTCGTAAGTTGGTGGAAGAAACACTTGACAATACAAGAATCTCCTCTAGCAAAAACCGCATCTACGAGCAAAGACATTGAAAACACGCAGCCAGTGACAAAAACCCACATAGAACCCCTCGTGTCTTGTTTGCCAGAAACCGATATCTAAAACCGACACACGTAAATCGGGATTAATGGTCGAGGAAAGAAAATCTATAACTGTAGCCAAACCAGAAAACCTACAAGTCAAACCCGATAATTTGGCAACCGATTACAATATCACCCAAAGAATCCAGGGAAAGCTTAAGTACTGATGCAAGCGTTGTTGGTACACCAACAAGGCGAAATATTATGAAATCCTTAACAAATTATCCATCGACTGCAGAATCATCTGAAGAAGTTCCAAAATTGCTTGACAACACAAGACAAAAACAAGCACTTAACAAGACGTCTAAAAATCCACCACAAAATCGTGCTTCGAATAGATCTAAGATGCACATGGCTGCTAGTGCAAGTTCTATAGAAGAACACAGGTTAGTAGTAGATTTTAGATTTTGAAACCGATTCTGCCGCATTACCAAAACTGTTATGGCAAGGCTCTGATTTTCATACATTATGCCACTGAATCATACTGTCAACATGTCATATGTATTTGCTGTGCATTCAGGTTTTACACATAAACTGCAACGTCACTCGTATGTTATGAAGCTGAGTCAGAAAGACCCTGTTATCCAACATCGTTTTTTTGACATTTGTGCGGTTTCTAGGTTAGGTTTTGTATCTGACATCCTGAGAAATACGCCTGACTGCTTTTGTCAATATTTAGAACAAACTAGTGGGGCGCATGGTAAACGTTCCTTAAGGCAAATTGCTGGAACTTCCCGCACTAAAATATTTTTTTTTTAAAAAAAAGAATAATTTAAAGAGAAAAAATTTACTCTGAAAAAATTAGATTTTTGAGAAACTATAAATTTTTGACAAAAATTTACTTTTTTTTGAAAAAGAAGACTTTTTGAAGAAAAATTTATTTTCAAATATTTCGGAAATTTTGAACTTTTTTCAAAGCAATCATACTGCTTTAACTGCATAGAGACGAAATATCAAAGCGCGTAAGCGCCGCGTCGCCGTCTAACGGATAGGCATTGGTACGGAACCCATAGGGATGTAAACAAAATTTATACTTAATATTAAAATCTCTATAAATTATCTGATAATTTGACGTGCATATGTCTAATGATCATTTTTGACCGCCAAATGGCATTTTTTTTACTTTTTTCACTAGATCTCCGAAACCGCTAGACCTGCCTTCATGAAAACTTGATCAGTTCTCCATCTTGTTAATACAAGTAAAATGTTTTTAAATTATTCGAATCGGACGCTCCGTTCTCTTAAAAACTGAGTTACCGTTTTTAGCACTTTTTGCCCCATATCTTTGGAACGGCTAGACCTGCCTTCGCCAAAAACTAATCAGCATCTCCTCATCAATACAAATCGAATGTTTTTTGAATTATTCAAATCGCCTCATCCGTGTTCCCGAAATCGTCGACAAAATTTGTATCTGACACACACATACACGCACACACATACACACATACATACACACAAGCATACATCAATTTTTTCTAAGGTATGCCAAAATATTCAGAAACCTTTGAAACGTAAAGATATATCAAAATTTTCTATTTGGATTTTTTTGCGATTACCATAACTTGCCCTACGAGAAGTTAATTAGTATGAAAACTTCTTCATAACATGGCCTTGCCATAATATTTTTCTGTTATGCGGCAGAATCGTTCCCTCTGTTTGCAAGTTGTTTTACAATATTTTAAAATGCAGAAAATTGGTGTCATCAAAGCAGTCTTTGGATATGGAAACAAAGCCAAGAACTGTTTATCGATCCAGAACAAGCTCAGATAGAGACTTGAGTCGTGGTTATCGTTCGAGTAAAAATTTGAAGGATTATGACTCGTCTGAAAGACCGAGACTCATTTACAGAACTAGCAGGGACAATGTTGATCAACAAGACAAATCCAGAAAGATGAACAGGTAAAACAACTAGTAAATCATAAAACATATTCAAAATACAGATTAAAAGTTTTTAACTTCCATCAGAATGTCCAAGAACGTTGAAGACGTACAAAAAGTTCGAGAAGTCCTCAACCCAAACAACGAACCTTCAGAACGTCTTCCAGGCGGTTTGGAAATAAAACCAAAAGTAGTCCAAAAATCAAGCAAAGAAATAAAAGCACCAACAAGAAGTACAGGAGAAGTTAGACGACCAGCAAGTGATAGACCACCATCAACTCTAGCCAAAGACAGTGATGAGTTTTGTGATATTCTATATAGGCGTTCCTTAGATGGTTCCAATCATGGTTCAAAAGGGGCAACCAGGGCGATTCGTACTGCTCCGAACCAGAACAAAGATCAGACCAGGTTGGATAAGTTGGAACCTTTGAAGGATGTAGAGGAAGATGTGCCAAATTCGGATACTGAGTGCACTTGTATGAAGACTGATAAAGGAGTGCATAGCAATTGGCAGTATAGGAAGTTTTGTAAATTTCATAAGAAGTATACGTATTATTGAATACTTCTTGGAATTGTAATACTTATTGTAAAAGTTTATAGCAGATATCGTAAACCTATTTTATCAATGGCATTAAGTTTGCAATTAAAATGATCTTTTTGAATTCGATTTTTTTTTCAAACATTACGTTGGTGATTTTTTTTTAACCCCTTAACTTGAAATGACGAGCAGAGCTCGCGTCCGATTTCTAGGCCAAAGGTAAATATTACGAAACATAGCCGCTTATGATAATCGGGAAAGAAGCAAATATTACGCATTACGGACATTGCCCGGTAAGGCAATTTGCAAGTATTACCAAATATTTATTTATACAATACTATAAAACACAAAATTATTTTTAGTTCTGTGAAAATCTGTATACGGAAAATATGGAAAAAACGCTACGCCAGCTTGTACAACTTTGGCCCCAACATTCTCGAATCTAAATTGTAAATTAAGGGGTTAATTAAATCAAAGACATTTTATGGAAGTGAGAACTTCATTCTGAAATGTATGTCCATTTGATCAACGATTTTTGTCATCTTTCAAGCAGCATCATTAATTCACTTTCATAAAACTTCTGGTTCTTATTCAAGGAGTTTTGTGAAAAGTAATCAGAAGTTGGTAAGTCAGGACTTTACGATGGACATGGCAAAACATGCCAACTAAGGTCCAATAATTTTTACCATTTTCAATTTTCCAATTCGAGTAGTTTTTGTTTAATTTCGTTAGTTGTTCAATATAGACGTCAGAATTGATCATTCGGTTGATGATAACATATTGAAGTAGACAATTTCTTTGTAATCAACTTCAACTGGACGACCAGAGCGTTTTTAATCTATTAATGAAAAATCACCAGAACGAAATTTGGTAAACCTAGTTTGACACTGCCGTTTTTTTTTAAGACTTCATCACCATCATAAATTTTTGTGAGCTTAAGATGCTTTATTACCTTTGCCGAAATAAAAACTCAAAATATGACAAAAATGATCTAATTGCCTTTCCAAAACTTTTTCTGATTTATAGCTGAATTACTTACTCTTATCTGATAACAAAATATGTTTTACATTTGTACTACATCAGCAACCATAAAAAGCAACTGGAGACATCTTTGAATAAAATTTACAGTTAGATTCAAACCCAGTGCAAGGAATAGATAACAAATCATCTTTCTGAGAGCAATTATGGCATGTTACACTCCAACATCCATACATTATGCTACTGAATCATACTGAATACTGTCAGAATGTCATGTATTTGCTGTTCATTCAGTCATTTTACACATAAACTGCGACGTCACTTGTATGTTATGGAGCCGAGTCAGAAAGACCCTGTTATCTAATATCGCTTTTTACATTTGTGCGGTTTCTAGGTTAGGTTTCTATCTGATAACCTGAGAAATACGCCTGACTGCACAGTACCGCATGGCATTTGACAATATTCAATATGGAAAGTTCTTCATAACATAGCCTTGCCATAACATTGGTCATTTATTATTTATTGCCACAACATTAGTCAATTATGCGGCAGAATCGGTCCCTTAGCATATAAAATGTATAATAAAAGTATAATTTTTATACTATTACAATGTTATTAGATCAATATAGAAAATTCATTTTTTTGCTTGAAAACATCAAATAGATCACAATATACAAAAAATTAATATTTATAATTTAATATATGTATTAATATTTATTGAACCAAGTTGCCTTGTCAATTTATTGTTTAATGGCATTACAAACAATTGCCTAAATAGATTTGTTTTTTCTAATGAAAATCATAACGCATTTCACAAATAAGTCATTTTTATTTTTTAGAATATAATTAAGAAATACAAGTTACAACGATGATGCTTCAAACATGCAGCTGTAAGTACTTTAAACTATTTATTATACAATTGAATTAAAAAAATATTATTATAATAAAAATCTATAATTCAATGATATAATGATAGATGAAACAATTTCGATTGGAAGTTTGTACGAGTAA